GTGGTCTGAGATCTGGTGGTCTGGGAAAGTTCCCGAGAGACAGACTTGAGCTGATTTTCTTCCTTTAGGACTGACAGGTAAGAGAGTTCGTCAGGAAAAAAAAATCGGGGTTGTGAAAGTATTGAGGCAGGTGTGAGCTGGGGAATATGAGGGAATCACGAGAGATCCTGTGTGTTTGGATTGGCCTCCTGGGGGAGAATATTGAAGGTCGGACCTCAGCAAAGGAAACTTTTCTGTGTCGGTTGGAATCTCTGTGAATTTCCCAAAGAAGGGAAATTCTACGCCTATTGTTATTATTATTTCTGTGTGACCTCCACTCTGCTGCTCATAGTCATTGTAGGTATCCTGTAATTCTAGGAGGGGTGGTGTTGGTAGAGTGAGAAGGATTTGCACAAGACTTAGTGATTCCTGTATAGCCAGCATTCTGTTTATACCGTTTTGTATATTAAAATATTTATGTAATGGATTATCATTTACACTTACATTCTGTTGGCTTGCGGGCCTGATATATATACACATATACATATACATATATGCACACATATACATATATATATATATATGTATATTATAGATATTGGAGTTTTCTTAGACTTGCTGTTGGAAGGGAGCTATGAGGCCATGTTCTTACATTCAGTGACACGAAATATATTCAGCTCCACAATGATGGCTGAAGATTGACAGCTACTTGGAGAAGCAGATAGTAAATTTCCTGGATTGCTACGGATTTGGAGGAAATTGAAAGATAGAATTTTATTTGAAATTTCCACAGAGAAACACACTTGTGCAGAGGGCTGGAGAGATGGTTCAGTGAGCACTTACTGCTTTTTCAGAGGACTCAGGTTCAATTCCCAGCACCCGCATGGTGGCTCACAACTGTGCAACTCCAATTCCAGGGGATCCAACATCCTCTTCTGACACCCATGGGTACCAGGCACATATGTAGCGCGCATATGTACACCCAGGCAAACCACTCATATACATCAAATGAATAAATAAATTTTGGATACTTTTATGGCAGCTTGGCAACATACAGGCCTTGCTATTTAGCAGTTGTCGATAAACCTGAGCTCACGATGTGTCAAGTAATCTCCGTGAGGTCTCTGGTCCTGATCTTCCAGAATGAGTAATGGAAGTGGTGTGTGATCAAAATGAGTTTTGTATATGAGAATGACACATGCTTGGTAGTCACTGCTAATCTCCCCAGAGCTTAGGTTTGGTAAGTGCTAGCTATCAGCTTGTGTCCTTTTGCTTCTTCTTGTTCCTCATTTTGTTTTGTTTTGGGGCAGAGTCTCACTATGTAGCCTTGTCCTGGAACTCACTATGGAGACCAGGCTGGCCTCAGACTCAGAGATCCACCTGCTTCTCTGCCTTTCAAGGGCTGGGATAAAAGGCACGTGCTTTAAAGGGGGCAGCTCATTTTTTTTAACGTGTAAATGTACCTTGAATCCTGCTATTTCTGGGTTACTGAAAGATGCTTACATTTCCATTTGCTGTGTCTCAGATTGTTATCTCTGAAGCCATCAGAGAACTCCATGTGTTTATCATGGAACCCTCAGTTTATCTTTCTTCAGTTAGGATGCCTGCATACTGATTAAATATAAGCCTTCTAGAGGCTTCTGTTTTATTGTCATATGTTGTTAACTTACTTCTTCTCATCCACCGGTGACGTCTGTCTAGAATTGTTAACCATCTCCAAAATGCCTATAATATCATTCTACCCTGATGTTTACAGAACAGTTTCAGACAGTCGTCCGAACAATAAGCCAGCTAATTTGTTAGGTTGTAAAGATAAATAAGATGTAACACAGATTCATAAATAGTTCATAATTCTGTTTCATTTTTTTCTAATTTCCAATAGTGTCATTCTTGATTTTGTTGTTGTTGTGTTGTGTTGTGTGTTATACATTTGGCCAGGGGTTTGCAATAAACTCCAGGCTGGCCTCAAACACATAATCCTTTTGCCTTAGCTCCCCAAATTTGGGGATTACAGGGATACACCACCATGCCCATCTCCAGCTCATTTTTGATTCTGTTTTTTTTTTTTTGTTTTTTTCCTCTTTTGCCACTGGGGATTGAACTTCAGACTTCTCACATTCTACCATTAAGCTGTATCCCTAACCCTTTTCTCTACTTTTCATTGTGAAGCAGGGTCTTACTAAGCTGGCCAGGGCGGCTTTGAGTGTGTGATCCTCTTGCCTCAGCCTCCTGAGTCGCTGGGACTGCAGGCTTCAGCGCACGGTCTGGCTTTGTGTCTGACTCTCCTTTGCTGGCTGATGTGTTTCTACTGTAGTAAAGTTCGCCTCGTGGTGTCCATTCGCATCCCTCCTCTTCCTTTCCCCAGCGCCACATGCGCTTTGTGTCTGACTCTTCTTTGCTGGCTGATGTGTTTCTACTGTAGTAAAGTTCGCCTCGTGGTGTCCATTCACATCCCTCCTCTTCCTTTCCCCAGCGCCATATGCGCGCGCACAAATGCATTATTCATAGGTGCACCTGAATTGTAGTTTGAAAAGAGGCACTTGGTATGACGTCTTTCAGGGTACACTCTGCAAGAGAATGTTTTGATGATGGGGAGATTCTGTGTCTTTTGTAGTCAGTATGGTAGCCACTTTTCATACTTGGCTATTGAGTACTTAAAATATGGAAATTGAGACTGGAGACTATGTTTTAAGTTTAAGTTAAATTAGATTTACATCTGTGTTAACAGTTTTTAAAAGATTTATCTATTTTTATTTTATATGTATGGGTGTATTTCGCCTATACCAGTGTGCTCCATGAGCATGCAGTGCATGTGGAAGCCAGAAGAGGGCAGCAGATCACCTGGAAATGAGTTACAGACAGTTGTTGGCAGCCATGTGGGTGCTGGGAATAGAACCTGGGTTCTCTGGAAGGGCAGCCAGTGCTGAGCCATCTCTACAGCTCTAGAATAAATTCAATTTAAAAGCCACATGTGGCTAATGGATTTATTGGACATTGCAGATATAAATTGTACTGTCTTAGGATAGTTTCAACTACTACTTGATGGGTTTTTTTTGTTGTTGTTGTTGTTTTTCCTTTTTGTTTTTTGTTTTTCCAGACAGGGTTTCTCTGTGTAGCTCTAGCTGTCCTAGAACTTACTCTGTAAACCAGGCTAGCCTTGAACTCATAGAGATCTGCCTGCCTCTGCCTCCTGAGGGCTGGGAATTAAAGGTGTGTACCACCACTCCTGGCTAAAGGGAAACATTCAGTTGGCGCTGGCTTACAGTTGGTTCAGAGGTTTAGTCCATTATCGCCATGGCAGGAATGGCAGCATGCAGGCAGACATGGTGCTGCAGAGGTAGCTGAGAGATCTACATCCCAATCCATAGACATCAGGAAAAGAGAGACACTGGGACTGTCTTGGGCTTCTGAAACGTCAAAGCCCTCCCCCAGTGACACACTTCTTCCAACAAGGCAACACCTCCTAATAGTGCCACTCCCTATGAGCCTATGGGAGCCATAGAAAGAGAAGAAGCCAAAGCATATATTTGCCAATTATAAGATCTTATATACAAAATCTCATAAAGATTACACAAAAGCTGTTAGAACTAATTTAATTCAGCAAAGTAACAGTACAAATCTGTCTTAGGGTTTCTATTGCTGCGACGAAACACCATGACCAAAAAGCAAGTTGGTAGGGAAAGGGCTTATTAGGCTTTCACTTCAGCATTGCTATTGACCACTGAATGAAGTCAGGACAGGAATTCAAACATGGCAGGATCCTGGAGGCAGGTGCTGATGCAGAGGCCATGGAGGGGTGCTGCTTACTGACTTGTTTCCCATGGTTTGCTTGACCTGCTTTCTTATAGAACCCAGGACCAGCAGCCCAGGGATGGCAGCACTCACCATGGGCTGGGCCCTCCCCCATTGATCACTAAATGAGAAAATGCCTTACAGCTGGATCTCAAGGAGCTTTTCCTCAGCTGAGACTCCTTCCTCTGATGACTCCAGTTTGTGGAAAGCTGACACAGAACCATTCAGTACAAAGTCAGTTATGTCTCAGATACTAACAATATCCAGATGTCCTGATTAGTTTTTTGTCAACCTGATAGGAGCTGGAGTCGTTTGGAAGAAGAAACACCATTAGAAGTGAAGACCCCTGCCCTGAGGTGCTCACATGGTCCCTGGCTCGCACTGAGCTCGCCCTGCTCTGTGTTGCGGTTGGGCCATGCTGATGGCACGTGGCCCACAGCAGTAGGTGAAGGAAGAAAGGGCACGGTGCCCTCCCTGGGCAGCCGTCTCTGACCCTTCCCACCTCTCCCCTTCCTCCCGGCCACTTCTGTTCATCGGAGGATCTTTCTGTTAGTCACCTTCTCAGCCCGGCACCTGGATGCTTTTTCAAGTGGTGTCGCGGGCTGGTACTCGGAGGAGCTAGCAACATGTGTTAGTTTATAATGAGCAATAAAACTTTCACATTGGGGAAAAATGAGGTCAATGTACATTAAGAAAAATGTTAATTTCTTGGAAAGGAAGTATATTTAGTTCACAAACGTTTGGAAATGTTTAAGGAAATGGTGAGGTTTAATTTCAATGATACCATTAAAAAAATACCTTTTGTAGAACAGTTTTCAGAGATTTTCATCCAGTGATGGTAATACAAAGTAAAATGAATATATCCACATACTCCTGGTGGGCATCTCACCTTTTGGAGTATATCTAACACACTGGAGTCCTTTGATTCCACAATTTTGTTCTTGAAATTTTAACCCACAGGAAGCTTCAGCATGAGAAATCTTCAGGCACAGAGATATGTCCTTGGTATATTTATGCTCCTGTCACCAACAGTGACCACACACAGAAATGGCCTGTCTGACTGCATGGGAATGTCCAATAGACTGTAGTCCACAGGCCCAGGCAAACAGTTTGAATCTGGTAAGAACATATGGAAGAAAGAAAAAAGAAAAATTGTGTATCAAATGTTAAGTGGCTGAGGAGAGATAAAATGGTTTACATGGTGTATGGCTCACACACGGTAAAGATTAGAAAGAAACTCAGCTGACATTCGTGGGCTTATATTCGGTCAATGGACAAATGAGAGTTTTGTTTCCTCTTTTTCTTTTATATGAGCTCTAATGTCTTAGGAGAAAATTTTAATTAAACTAACTTAGAAAACAGAAATCTGTCTCTTTGGTACATTCTAAATTTAGCAAAGAACATGAAATGATAAAGGGTTCTAGCTCACTTATTTCATAAAAGTGAAAGGTTTCAGGAGAACAGAAAAGCAGGGAGCTATGTTTTGTTAATTAATGATCAGTATTTGAGAGCAGGATTCAGGGCGTGGATTGTGAGTTCAAATCCACATGTGTCCCCATGTGTGTGACGTTGGAGAAGCTGTTGCAGTTTTTAATCTGCAGAATGCACAGGGCAGCACACCTTGCTGGCCGGATTGAGTGTGCACATGGAGCTGGCCTGCAGGAGGCGCTCTAGCCACTGCACTGCTCCTGTGTCATCCCCTCACCAAAGCTCAGCCCCAGAGCCTGGAGCTGCTCAGGGGTAAAGCGTTTGCTGTGCAAGCAGGGGGTCCTGAGTTCTGTTCCCAGCACCCACATGAAAACTAGGCACGGAGGCGTGCATCTGTGAATGTAGTTCTGCGGGGTGGCGTAGAGGTGGACAGGTGCCAAGAGTGTGCCAGCTGTGCAGTCTAACAGCTGTGAGAGACCTACAAAACAGTGGGGTGTGATGGCAGGCAGATCTCTGTGAGAGTTCAAGGCCAGCCTGGTCTACATAGCAGAGTTCCAGGCCAGTCAGTTACTCTGTCTTTAAGATAAACAACCATAAATAAGTAAAAAAGATAGAGTGCAATTAGAAGAAAATGCCCGAGTTTGACCTCTGACCTTCACATACATATACATGGATATGTACTCCTCCACCCCCCAATCAACTTGATAAGTCCCTTGCTGGGTGACCTTGACAATTACTTGTGCAAGCCTTGTTTGGCTTTTTTGGTTTTTAGTTTGTAAGGTGGCAGCAGCAAACCACTTGCTTCAAGTTATTGGGAGAATTTCCTGAAGTCGAGCCAGAAGCTTGGTGTACCCAACAAGTGCAGAGATGGAGGGGGTATGGAGGGCTGATGTGATGGGTTCTGTTTTTCCATGGGTTTATTTTGAAGCCTGAAGAAGTTGGGAAGTGAGCAGGGGTGGGAGGGCTGGCTGGAGGTGAGAAAGCCAACACATGCTGAGGGTTTATTTCTGCCCTGACAGATTTGGGAGAAAGTCTGTGGTGTCTACAGCAGCTGTAGGTTCACTCTGCAGTTTTCAGAGTGCAGTGACTGCAAGTCTGTGATGTTGTTGGTTTGTTTTTCTTCTTTATTCTTCGAGGGGCCAGCCACCAATTCCCACATAATTCACACAGGGGCTTATTCTTAATTACAAATGCTAGGCCTTAGCTTGGCTTGTTTCTAGCCAGCTTTCCTCAACTTAACTGATCCTATCTACCTTTTGCCTCTGGGCTTTTCCTGTTCTCTTTCTTCTGTAAATCTTACTCTGTGGCTTGCTGTGTAGCTGGGTGGCTGGCCCCTGGAGTCCTCCTCCTTCTCTGGCTCCTTCTTTTCTCCTCCCAGATTTCTCCTTCTATATATTCTGTCTGCTAGCCCCACCTTTTCTCCTGCCTTGCCATTGGCCATTCAGTTCTTTATTAGACCATCAGGTGTTCTAGACAGGCACGGTAACAAAGCTTCACAGAGTTAAATGCAGCATGAACAAAAGTAACAACCTTGAAATCATACTCTGCAGCAGTGTGATGTAAGTAGAGAGCCTGTCCTTATTCCTGCTGCCTGGCCCCTTCCCAGGCTTCCCGCATGCCCATGCACATAACCCCTCCACTGCTCTAGATACAGAAGAATTC